GATGGCAAATGCCTACCAAGAGTTCAAAAACTCAAGCTTTAAGCTCGTCCATCTACTTCCCTTAAGATTAAGGGAACATAGTCATTTTAGGGGAAATGAAGCAAGATAGACCAGGGGAAAATGAGGTACACTAAGCTTATAGCAAATATAGGAGGCATTCATCATTTACCACCCTTAAGATTAAGGAACCAAGCTGGGTGCCAGTGGCTCTCACCTGTACCTAACTACTTCAGGAGGCTGAGATCTGAGGATTGTAGTTCAAAGCCAGCCTAGGTAGAAAAGTCCATGAAATCTTATCTCCAACAAACGACCAGAAAACCAGAAGTGGAGCTGTGGGTCAAGTGGTAGATAGAGTGCTGCCTTGAGCGGAAGAGCTGAGGGACAGGGCCCAGGCCCAGAGTTCAAGCCCCACAACTGACCAAAAAATAAACAAATACATAAATAAATAAAAATAAAAAAAGATTAAGGAACCAAAGTCATTTTGGGGAAAATGAGACAGGATAAATTGAACAAAAACAGGTTCAAAATGAGGCCTGGTGAAGGGAAGTCAAAAATGTATTTAGAAACATAGAAGTTCCATCTTTAGCTGGGTACTGGTGGCTCATACTTGTAATCCTAGATACACGGGAGGCTGAGATCCAAGGATTGCAGTTTGAAGTCAGCCTGGGCAGAAAAGTCCCTGTGAGACTCTTATATCCAATTAACTAAAAAAAAACTGGAAGTGGCACTGTGGCTCAGGTGGTAGAGCATTAGCCTTTAGTACAAGGAGGCTCAGGGACAGCACTCAGGCCCTGAGTTCAAGCCCCAAAACCCCCAAAACATGCCAACTTTGCTTCTGAGAGAGAAAACAGGGTGCATTCCTCCTGGAGGGATGCATTTCTCACCCCAAGAACTAACACTTGTCTGACAGAATTTACGCCTTTGTTGTGGCTGTTGGGAAATGGAGGAGAAAGGAAGGAAACAGGCTGGACTCCATCTTCCACAGGCAAGGATTGTTTATTGAGATAGAGCAGTGAGGGACACAGCCTTCCTGTGGGCTTGGAGACTATGTGTAGAGCTGGGACAGGAGCTGGGTGTTATGAGGTCTGGGCAAGGAGGCAGAGGTCAATGAGAAAGCTCCTAGGTCAAGCGAGGGGGGGCTTTTCGGTTGGGCCCACGATGGGACATTTACAGCCAGACTCATCATTGGTGGGTTGCCAGGTGTCTGTGTGCGCCTGGGAAAACAAGGCAGGAGTCAGTCCTTCATAGTCCATCTTTGGATGCATAGAAAGAATTGGCCTCGAGGAAATTCCTTCATCTAGGGTCTTTGGATGTATAACAAGAATGGGCTGAGTGGGGAGCAACATGTTGTTATAAGGAGAACAAAGCAGATTCCCACCATGTAAAGCCCCGAAGGAGTATAAAAAGTGGAGGGAGGTCTGGAGGGAGGTCGTGGTCTTTTCTGGCTACTTCCTCCTCTGGGGCTGGGCTCTTCAGGGTCCAGGTCTGCTCCGGGCAGGGCAGGGCAATGTAAGCGAAGCCTCTGGGTACCTGCAGTAATAGGACAGCCTTGAAGTACTCCCAGGGGGTGTCCTGAGTGAGGGCTGTTAGCAACTTGAAAAAGGTGAGATTGGGCAAAAGGCTTACAAAGTGGCAGGACCTGTTGATATGAATGACAAATGACACAGGAAAACACACCCTGGGCACAGGCCAGAAAAGTTCCATTTGGAGCATGAGCCCAATTGTGGCCTATTACAGACAAGGAGGAATTTCCATGTAACTTGTGTATAGATATCTGGACTATATAGTGTGGATGGGAAATAGAAATAGGTAACAAAGGCAAGAATGTAAGTTCCTGTCCAGGTAGAAGATAGACTGGTATGGATATTAGATAGGCATGCTTATGAACTGTTTCCTCTTGATCTCCTGGCAGGCACAAAGTGGCTGATGTGACATCATCTCCTCTTCCTACTGTCCACAGTTCCTTGTTGTCAGGATTGACTTCATCCTGGGGTTTGCCCATTGCTTCATTGCTGGGATAACTCATCTCAGTTGGCATTCATGGGCTTTGAACTCAAGGCCTGGGCACTGTCCCTAAGGACTTCTGCTTGAGGATAGTGCTCTACCACCTTGAGTCACAGTGCCACTTTTAGCATTGGACTGGTTAATTAAAAAATTTTTTTTTGTTGGTTGTGGGGCTTGAACTCTGGGCCTGGGCGCTGTCCCTCAGCTCTTCAGCTCAAGGGTAGCGCTCTAACACTTGAGCCACAGCACCACTTCTGGCTTTTTTTTTTGCTTATGTGTTGCTGAGGAATGGAACCCAGGGCCTCATGCATGCGAGGCAAGCACTCTACCACTGAGCCACCTTCCCAGCCCCTTGACTGGTTAATTTTTGAGTCATGCCTCCAGGCTGACTCTTTGCTGGTTAGTTGGGAGATGAAGTCTCAGAGGGATTTTTTCTGCCCAGGCTGACTTTGCACTGCAGTCTTTGCCACAAAAACAATATTATTTCCAATTAAAGCAACAAGGAACTCAATGGGAAGAAGAAGAGCTTACTTGCACCCAGTTAAGAATTGATCAACTAATATTTGGAAGAATTCTGCAATGACAAAGCTCAATAGACGGGAGGAGAGTTTTAGAATAGATGTGGTATAGCTTGGCTGCCTGGAAAACCTGATAACCAAAGTTCACAAGAAGCTCTGCTGGCCTACATCTGTTTCAATAGCATAACAACAGCCAGCTTTTTCAGGTCAGGCTGGGAAAGGTTTACAGAGAGTGTCCCACAAGTGTCTTAGTTTGTGTAAATCTAAACGAGTCTTTCACCAGGAATCAGCTGTGTGTGATGGAGTCAGGCAGGAGTCCAGACATGGTGGAGGTAGGCAGGATGGTCCAGGCAGGATCTGGGCTAGACCGTGTCCCACGGATAGATTGTCCCATCTCCTGTTTGGTTGCTTACAAATGTCTGCACAGACCTGTTAAAGACACTTGACTTTAGATGGACAAAAAGAATGACATTTAAATCATTTCAACTATAACTAGCTTGATCACATACCAGTTTTAATAAGCTTTATCTTACAAGACTTTCTGATATACTCATACCATCTACCACCTACTAGAACCTTCCGGGGTTGGTCTTAATTTCTACCTTTTCCATTTGGAACAAACATTTAAGACAATTCTTACTTTCCAAATACTTTCTTATCCAAAGGTGTTTCCTTAGTTTCCCTTTCCAAGGCCTTCTTTACTAGCTTTCCTCTTTGTTTACATTTCCTTATCTCCTTACTGGTGTTCTTTGTTACAGCTGGCTAGGAGCCCAGCTGGGTCTCATTCCTTTTACTACTACCCTTAATAATGACGTTTCCTTTGAACAAACAGCACATTTGATCATTAATCCTTCCACACACAATTTACAATTGCAGTCAAGAAACATAAATTTCAGGAAATATCAGTACCAAGAAATAGAAGATACCTTTTCACACCATGATGACAGTTTTTATGTATTACAATGAGATTATGTTGAACATGTTCACACACACACACACATTTAAACAAAATTTTTAAGGCGTGCTTAGGTTTTTTTTCTTTTAAAATTTTTTCTTTTAAATTCTTTATTGTGATTACGTGATTACATAATTTCTCAAATTTCACAGTATTGTGGGATAGTGATGCTTAGTTAAAGTCACAAACACATTCTAACTTTCATGGGGCAAATTGTCTATCGTGGTCAATAACATTTCTGAGTTCTATGAGCTTTGCGATAGTTATTTCTTCCACATTGGGTGGTATGTACATTTCTTTTGTTTTGCATAGCATCAGCT